AGACACATTTTCTTAATAGTCGGCATAATGGCGTACAAACTTTTCTGCTGTTATTTTTCCCACGATGACTAACTGTCTAACGGTACAAAATAAGACAAATTCCTGATGAGAATTGACTTTTGCTATCGAGTAAAATGAAAATGTTGTTTTCTGTTTAAAATGTAAAATATTGGACGAACAAAAAAATCATTATTGACTCAGGCAAACTTATTGCGAAAGCGAAAATTTATTAGTGATTTTTTTTGATAAATGATGTGCTTTTTCTTGAAACATGTTTCAATCAAGCGAAATGAAAATAAGCTACTTCTTTCGAAATTTCTTACTTAAATCTTGTGATGGACTGTAACAAATATAAGAAGTATTCCCTTTGGATATTTGAAATGATTCGATCATATTTCAGATTTTAATCTCGCACGAATTGCGCTCAAAGATTTTTTTTGTTCGATTCGTGCCATTTTCACATAAAATGGCAATTCAATTTTATTTATCTTTTCATTTTTTAGTTGTAAAAGTAAAAAGTTTACAAAAACACTTATTTCCATCTCTTATTCTGCCGAAAAAAATTAATTGTGCAACAGAATATTACGATAGTTGAGTATTAGAAAATGGCTCATGTGATTCTCACATAGTGCTAATATATGATTAAATACACTTTTATCTCCTGTTCTCAAGTGTGAAACTCTTTGGTTTCTATCAAAACTGATTCGAAAAATATTCATTCTTCTTCTAAGTTAAAACGAAAAATAATTTTGCTCTCCAAAAGCTAATTTTTTGGAGAAAGAACGATTGAAATCAATACATCTTATGTAGAATAAATTTTGATTTTTGTATAGATATTGATATAAGATTGAGGTTTTTTCAAGACTTATTTGACATGATAAAATTTACAGGTAGTCAAAGCATTAGAGCTGATGTATATTTTTTATATGCAAAATGTGCGAGAATAAAAATATTTTGACGTATCGAATATTTCAACATATAAACAAAAATGTTTCATCAATATGATCTATCGCAAACAATATGTTAGTGACGAATACCATTTACACGAATTTCGATTGTCAGATAATTAAAATCAAAATATTCAATAACAAGCAAAGCATAGAAAAGCAAAAACAATGAGAAAATATATATTAATGATATATTTGAGAACGAATTAGAGTCCCACTAAAGCAGAATAAATATAAGATAAAAACAAATTTCCAACGTACAAAAATTTCTTCGAAGACAATCTTTATATGATTGTATTTATATTTTTCTTTTTATTGATAAGGAGATTATTACTATAAAATTTAAAACGCTATTCAGAAACTCGAGTGATCTGAACCGGCTTTTCGCTCAATGAAATTAAAAATTATCATCTCGATAAAGATCAATTAGTTTTTCGTACTCAATTATAACTTATTATTCTCAAAGATATCATTGAACTGTCGTATAAAACCTGAAACCATCTCATTTCACTCTCACATATGATGAAATATCTTTAGAGCAAAACCTTTGAGGTGAGAAACGCGTCAATGACGATGAACGATAATAGAATTGAAATTGTACAATTGATAGATAGTTCAATTGATCAATTAATAAAACTACATAATCGATTTAGGTCCAATCGATAGTGGATTTCACTTTCAGATTTTTCAAAATTGTTTCGTACGTGTAAAGTTCGTATCGCTTCGAAGGAAATATCATGTGATAAGCCCACTAATATAGAGAGATCTTGACGCGAAAGTGAACGTAAATGAGGCATATGTTCAATGAGATCAAGAAATGAAGTCGATATAAGATTGGTGTCGGTTTGTTCTATATTGAATAGGAGTGATGTGACATTGATAAAACGTTAAATAATTGAATTAAATAATGACAAATCAACTCGATGGATATATTTATCTTATCAAAACAGAAATTGGATGATGTGCATATTGGTGGCCAATAAATATTCGGATATACGAGAATATTTTATGTAAAACGAGGTACCGTAAAGATATTTCGCGAACATGGACCAGCATTGGCAACAAATCAACGTTTTTGTTCAAGTCAAAATAGTGAACAAAATGAATCAAGAATATTTTCTTTGGAAAAATCTGGTAATGAACATGAAAGATTCAATCGAAAGTTGAATATAGTCAAATGTGAAACAAGTAATTCCCATTTTTTGCCATCAATAAGTTTGAAACAATATAGATTAGATATTTTAGATAAAAATTGTTCTACATGGATCATGGTCTTTTTTTACCTTTATTTTAAAAAACAAAGAATATATATATATACAATTTTCAAATAACTATACGTACCATGAATGTTTAGGATGAGCCATCTTAGATAGGGCAAAAATGATATGGTATCCGTTCACTTTGGATAATTATCATATGAAAGTTTGACATCAAGTGAATAAAGATTAGGAATTTGATTTAATATAAATGATAAGCCCTAGCAAAAGAAACTTTGAAGAGTTAAATGACGTAGACGAGGCAATAAAACCAAAACGAGATTATGAGCATGGGGTAGTGCTAGTTGATTCAGTCAAGGAATTAAGTTATATATAGCAGTGCATCTCTGTGTTTATTATCACTAATCGTAGTCATATCGAATGATTGAAGATGAATGAATTGTTCGAGTTTAAAATGAGAAAAGAATAGGTTTGATTGATTTGATGTATCATTGTCATGGGACAATATAATAGAAATGACTTGATGTGGTCATAAATGTTGGCAAAGAAGATCAAATTTCGATTTAAGAACAGAACGAAAGTTGAGTAAATAGTGACAATAGCCAGCTAATATAGAATCCAGGTAATCACTTAGGCTAGAAAATGAATAGTAGATATCATGTACTCAAAAATAATCAAAAATATCGTATGAGATAACTGATTTCTTATTGCTCGTTCATGATGTAATAATATAACACACTGATAATTTTCTTGTTTCATTCTTTAGTCGATACTAATTGCAAATGTTGTTCTTTCAGACATGAAACACATGTCGAGATGCAAATGATTCATCGTGTATTTGAGACTGAAAAGAATATAGAATGAATATAAATCGATGATGAGCGAATGAGATTGACAAATCAAAAGCTTCGAATAAAATGAGCAAACATGTCTTTCCATGGTCATGTATCTCTTCTGCATCTTTAGTCTTTACGTACTTTAATCATTGCCATTTTTTTTCTTCATTTACAACATTTAGTACGAGTTACTGCGTTTCATTTTTAAGCCGCTTGTTTTTCTTTTTAATTCAACTTTATAACACTAGAGAAGTTTTTTTCGATGAAATTGAAATATAGGAAAATTCCAATTATAAAATTAACTCTTTTTCTCTAGGGAAAATGAATAAACAAAGAAGAAAAACCTACTTCGAACGTTATTTTTTTTATATACAAGGTATCTCATAAGTCATTGGGCAAGAGAACATTTGAATATCTCTTCGTATTTCGGCGAAATTGGCTAATTATTTTACTAAAGATGAACCATGGTTCATAGCTCATATTCATAGTAAAAACGTTTGCAAATAGGTTTTTGAAGTGTCATTTCTACCTTCTGACTTTCATAAGCTATAAAAATACAATATGTTTATTCCCATGGACAAAAATGAAAAACATAGCTATTTTTTCGATGACTTCTTCATACTATTGTGAGGTGCATATGATGTGGAGTAATAACTTCATATGATTATTTTCTCATTACTATGTTGTTTTTGAGTGTTATCTATTCGTATGCAAAGGTCTTCTGAACACTAACTATGATATTATACATACGTTGCTTCACTAATGTTTTTCTATTTATACGAATCATGATTCACCTACTCTCGTGTATTATCCGATCCAAAATAAAAATCAGTTTGCCATTTTTCAAATAACTTTTAATGGGAACAAGATCGAGAGCTACAATTTTCCCCATTTGAAAGAGCAATACTTGGGCCATCGATCTGTATAAAATTCATTAGGACGAGAGATGTTTGTTCATAGAGAATTATAGATTGAGTTTTTTTCTAGGTATAATTTTCCTCAATTTTCACAATAATCTGAACTCAAATGACGCGAAAATGTAGCTTAAGGACACTTTTTTCACTATAAAATATGTAAATGCCCTTGAGAATCCACTTCGTGAAAGAGATCGCTGGTTAATCGGAAACGTGATGATTTTATAGTGAAAAAAGTGTGATAGGGAATCTTGCTCGAAAAGCTTCTTTCGTCTTCATGAGTTTTATACAGATCGATAGTCCATATGCAGTGATCGTTGGGAAAATAAAAAAGAAGTTCATTTTCGATTAGATAGATGGATTCATTCGTTAAGACGAAACCAATTTAATTGAGTCATAACACAACTTAACGATTAGTTGGGAAAGAAGATAGGATATGGAGCTGGCAAGTCACGAGTGGCGCCGACGAATGACTCGCCGTTTATTTCTAAGATTGATATAAGCCTTTCTTTCGCGAAGCTTTCTAGAGATTGGACAATAGTTTTCAGAAGAGCTCGACCAAGTAGATAGAAACTGGGATCGGTGGGTCACAACTGGCGCTCTCGAGAGACGCTGATGAACGACTCGCCATTCATTTACGAGGTAGACACGTCTTTTCTTGCGTAAAGCTTTGAATGAAATAAAGAGTATTTTTCGAAAGACCTGAGGCAATTGTTGTGGTGAAGACGACTAATTCAAAATCGTACCAATTTCTCATAAAAGCCAAAGAAATGTAATCTATGATGAGACTATCGCGCGAATACTACATATTCTAAACTCGACATTATCAGTGTTGCTTTTTCCAAATTGCAAAAGTTGAAAGACTTGTTCGTATGGTGTTGGCTATAGCATCACACAAACTGACGATTTATCTGATAATATTTGTCAAAGTGGATAGAATGAATTCAGTTGAGGGTGAAGCGAGTCGTAGCGACGAGCATTACTTGTTTTATTAAAATATTATACTTATGCGAGTGAAATAAAATTGCAAGTTAAAAAAAGTGTGGTCTGAGAAGCAATCAATCTTATATGTGAAGTTTTTTTTGTTTATATTTTTTGTTCATGTACTTCAGCTGTCGATTCTTCAGTCAAAACTGCTTGAGATCGCGGTGATAAAATGAATACTGGCAAATTGAAATATGAATTGACACCTTTTCTGATTAAACTTCCAAATCCTGCATACCACGCAATTGCTGCTGTGAATATTCCAACAGCTCCTCCTACGCATGACATATTTTGATCCCATAAAAGAAAGTAACTGGCTGTAACTAACCCATCAGTTGACATAAAAAAAAAAAATAAAAATATTATTAAAGCTACATTTATTCGAATTGATGCAATTAACATAGCTAATGTAAATATTGTCCATCCAACATAGAAAACATTTAATGCTTTATATTGTACACTGGTATCGATTACGCCGCTAAGAAAATTAAATGTGCTAGCATAAGAACAAAATATAAATGCATGAAAATTATTTCCTAAGATCAATTCAAATAAACCAGCCAAAATTTGAATCAAACCATCATAGAAAAGTGCAAGACCCATTGCAATATAAGGTGAAGTTGAGATAGAAACAGTTGCACCGGCCATGTACATCGAATAAACAAATAATGTTAAGGCAAAAGCAGAGAAACCGATCGGTGATGGATAATTAAAGCTAATGCCTTGATGAAGGATATCCTCTCATGGAACGTTCAAATTCAAGAAAATATTCATATGTTACTTGGCAAGATCGCGAGACATTTTTCTAATTTAATTATTTTAATATTCTATTCAATAGAAAAAAGAATCAATTCAATTCGAATAGTTTAGATGACTTAATAAAATATAAGAATTTTATTTTAAACTATATTGTGGATTAGATCGAGGTTGTGATAAATAAATTTCTTTTCTTTAGATACCTGCATTCTAATATCGCTTTCTGAATCAGATGCAGATTTTATTTTTAGAGCTTTTTAATTTGAAAAATAGTTGTAATTACTTACAAACATAAGATAGTATAGATATCAAAATTGCAACATATGTTGTTTTGTGTTATAATTCTTAATATCTTAAAAGGTAACGATTGATGCTGTATTTTTTTTTTGATTTCATTTTAAACATGGTAATTCTCTTCGATGTATAATGAAAGTTTCGAACAGGTAGGATTGTTTACATCAAAATCGACAAAAGAGAACGAGTAAGGGTGTATGTGACCCTATACAATGCAAGGTTTTAAATAGAACCCTTAAAATGAATTAATCGAACCGAAGATGATCCTGAAAAAAAAACTATCATATTGATTATGTCGAGATTGTTACGTCATGTTTTATTACGTAGTTAAAGAATATCAAATTTTTATCCTTATTTTGACAATTTTGTGGAACTTTATCCTATATACGTAGCATACTACATTCGTTAAATCTTGTACATATCATGAGTTTCTGAAACATCTTTACGTAAATAAACAGTAATAAAACGATAAAAGTTTTCACAATTCCTGATTCGACGATTCTAAATAACGAATCTTTATTGGATAATTTTTCTTTTCATAATTACGAATCGCAAATCTGTTTTAAATTAAACTCAATCTTTAATGAAAAAATGCAAGACAGTTTTATAGATTATGGCATAGATGTTGATATTTCTTGCATCTTCATCTACATTCAAACCCACATCTTCCTTAAAATTGATAAAAACTAGACAAGTCTTTTTTTGTTCGGTGTCTCTGATAATATTTGTGAGAAGTAGTGATTTTTATCATCGATTATGATTTTACATTCTACTTACAATAGGAAGTCATTTTGTGTATTGAATGTTTCATTTTTACTGTGATATTCAGAAAATCTTATTGCCGATTTCAATCAACATAGATTTGTATCACATAAAATTAAGCACATATATGACTTTTGCCAAGATAAAATAATTAAGAAAATAAGAAAGCTAACGCAACATGTTATTCTCCATGTCTTTCAATGAGAAAAGTATTGAATAAGAAAAATAATTAAATAAAAACATATTTATATGTTCAAAAGTGGTCGTCTAAATTCAGTTTTTTTCCTCTGAAACTGTTCTACACATGATTGTTATTGTTTTTAAATTAAACATCCACAATGGAGAAAAGAAATAAAAATTCTAATTGAAAAGTAGAACTACAATGATGACGATTGATAATGCTATTGGATTGGAAAAAAAAAAGAAGTTTCTCTTACTTCATATGTTTCAAAGAGAAAAGCTTTTCTTAAATTAAATTAACGATACAATAAAATTAAATTAACAAGGGATTGATCTGATAACATCTCTAAAAAGAAAAGATCTAGTATTAAAAAACAAAATTCTTGAGAGAAATGAATGTGAAAACGTAGTTCATTTCGATTGTTTTTTAAAAATGAGTCAATCTCATTCATTTGACAGTGAAGATATTCACATCGAGGCTAAAACATGCTTTGGTATTTTTGAAATCTCTGTATTTGTCGTAAAATACTGCGTAGAAACCTATTTGACTGTTGGTTTTATTAATATTCGAATAGATATTTTAATTTATTGGTAGCTTGTAATCAATTACAGGGATTAATGATTAAACTGAATGATTTATTGCTCTGATCGATCATCGATCACTGCAAAACTATTTCTTGTTTCATAATTGCAATCAAATGTGATTAAATCATCATTTATTTTATGAAAAAAAAATTGATCACGATTTGACACAGATGTCTTTTCAAAACTGTAAAATCCACACGAAATGGATCGATATTGTCTTCTTTTGAAATGAATTTCTTCCATTACAAGTAGATCCTATTAATATGTCTCATATATGTTTATATAGATCATTTATTTTCAAACAATCTCTACTCATATAAGTTTTCTCTACTCTCTCTTTAGAGTGTAGGTAGAGGAGGAGGTGTATAAGTATGAATATAGGTAAGATATTGAATGGAAGAAATATCTACTCTCACACCTACACCTTCATTGAAGGTCCATTCATTCATGGATCTAAAGTTTCTCTTTTAGTGAAATCCTTAATTTCTATTTTCTATAATATTTTTTTTTCTTTTTGTGTCAACAACACAGGTGAGGAAAGATGAAAAGAGAATACAGCAAGTAGCTTTTTTTCTTCTGTAACAGAAACTCGAATATTATTATTCTGCAGGGATAATTTGTTCGTTTTATTGATCAGAATAATCTTATGTTACATGGAACAATCTGGAGTAAAGTACATTGATTTGTTTTTTGTATGTTTGTCCTTGAATGTAAGTTCGCGATTCAAAAAAATGTCACCTAAATGTTTTTGTCCTTCAATAGTTACCATTTTTCTTTTTTTCTTCCAGTCATCTACAGAGCAAAGGCACTCACCTATACAAGTTTGTGATAGTTTGTTTCTGTTGCCTGATTTTTTTTTTCGTCGAGCAGTGTTATATAGGCGCAGCAATCGAACGAACCGTCAACACATATGTATATTTGTCGTTTTATAAATTGAATACTCAGGTGAAAAATATTACATTTTACGTTGATAATTGCTAGATAGGAACCCATACAGATTCAAATATTTTATAAATGTAAGTGAATTTCATATCGAATTCAAGTAACATGAAATTCTAATAGTAATGAATTACAACTAGACTTCAGATATACTTTGCCCTCAATAATAGAATCCTTCTTCTATTCTTTTGTATTTTATATAGAACATATTCATGCATCGTTGACTACGATGAACGAAAACTGAGAAAACATTCTGCCATCAATTTTATCTCAGGAAAAGAATATTCAATATATAAAAGGAGAAGTCTTTCTTTTCTCTCTAAAGTCCTCAGAAAGCGAAGGATAAATCTTATCTGTATTTCACGTCAGCTTTGTCTGGTTCGATTTTCAAATTTTGAAACTTATAGTGACTTACATTTTTAGATTGGATAATTTTGTGTAGGACATAATCAAAGTATTATCTAGACGATTGGTTAATAATTTCTACATATGTATTATTTGAGACTGAATGGCTTTTTGTACATTTTTCTTTAATATATTTCCAAGCGATCTATTATACTTTTGTCATCGGTATATACTAGGATGTGAGCGTGAGTTTTCTTTTCACTCACATCCACAACTTCTCAAAACAAGTATTAAAATGTTATCAAGGTTTGTTCTTGATTTTCTTTCGATTCGTCTTGACCAGAAAAGAAGATATAATTCGAATGGGTTCTTCTTCCTGAAATCTACTAGCACCTGTTTATACAAAACTGAATAATTAATCACAAATCAAATACTAGATAAAAATATGAACTACTCAGAAATTGTGCATTGTCACCGTTCGACAAAGATTGATGAGACTGAAGACGTGGTTCATATATAGTCATTAGAAGAGAATTCGGTAATAGTTCCTAACTTGACGAAAATTGAAAATCAGCTAGTGATCCTCGCACAGAAAAGAAACGTATAATTAGGAGAACGATTACAAGCAATGTGTTATTGTTTGATTCATTTGTTGCCTTACCGATATACATAGTTTCTGATTTTATAGAGGAAAAGCTCTCTTCCTATACTAAGTCTCTAGTATTACTGTCGTCTAAAACGAAAAAGTCTATTTGCCCAATACTGCATTTCTAATGAAAAACTATTTCTTTAGCATGAATAGACATTTGTTTTTTCGTTCTTGTTGATGTTCATTCAAGATTGATCTCAAATGTTTTGTCTCAAAACAGTTTTCAAATAAAAAAATCACTTCTGAACAATATTTTCAGAATATTGTCTTTATTCGATGTTGATGAATATGAAAACGAATCCTGATATCACTTCAAAAATTATTTTTGCAAAGAATGATCGATTTCGAACATCAAACGAAAGAGATCTTCATCTATTTCTCTCACATAATCATTGATAGTCTCAAGCAACACAGATCGAATTCTTTTGTCAGTCCTATTTTTCTCCAATATACAATTTTTTTGCAGAAATATCCATTCGTTACTAGGAGTGTGATCGATGTCGGTTTTGTCAAGGACAAAGGACGTTTTGACCTAGGACAAATGGAATAGTAAAAATAGAAGTAATTTACGGGGTAGCTTTCTTTCTCCTACCACTTCTGTACGACTCATTTATGAAGGGTGACTGAAAACAATTTCTACTATCAAAAGTAATGGAATACAATAATACAAGCGAAAGGAGAGAAAAAGAAAGAGACGTATAATAATAAGAGCAAGAGAAAGTTCGATCTTATTCATCAATTGAAAGGACACGAAGAAGCAGATGTCGAAGCAGTTATTTTAGATGAGTGCATTAAGTATCGGAATCTCTTTCTTGCTTTTATGTATTTCATTCTTTCACCTGTACGGCGGCATCGTATGTACTTTTTTTTTCAGACAAAAACCATTCTAATAACAGATATTCCATTGATTTGCCATCGTCATAGAGCAACCATCCTTTCCTTCGCTATACATAGAAATAAATTTACTTTGAAAAAGGCAGAAACAAGAGAGGTTCTTGTCATTTTCTTTACCACTAGTTCTTGTTCGCTTTTATCTGTCTTTTTCAAAATAAATTCATTTCTTTGTGCAGTGAAAGAAAGGATGATTGCTCCACGACGCTGACAAACCAGCAAGGTGCACATTACTTTAATGGTTCTT